ATTGTGACCGCTTCTTCCACAATCCAACCGATCCTAATAGGGCTTCCACTTGTATCACTTGACTGAACTCCGTGGTACATGCCATCCAGGCAGCTGTGTTCACTTTCTAAACAAAATGTTCATCAGTACACGGATTCAGGATGAATGCTGGATATGTGGAAGATAAGAAACACGGGTGCATACTACTAGACGTATTGTGACCGCTTCTTCCATAAACCAACCAATCCCAATGCGGTTTTCCCTTTAATCGGTTGAGTCAACTCCTTGGCTCATGCTATCCAGGCAGCTGTATTCACTTTCTAAACCAATTTCGTATCAGCCTACCGATTCAGCATCATAGCTGGATTTGTGCAACATAGGTTATTCTGGTACATACTCCTAGAAGTGTTGTGACCTATTCCTTCTTAATCCAAAAGTTATCATTATAGGTATCATGTGTATAACTTGACTCAACTCCGTCGCACATGCTTTCCGGGCAGCTGTGTTCACATTCTAAACCAATTTCGTATCAGCCTACCGATTCAGCATCATAGTTGGATTTGTGATACGTAGTTAATTCTGGTTAATACTCATANATACCCGTAGACACGGACCATACTCTGCTACGAGCGAGATTCTCCCTACGCCTGATAAACAACCGAAGAGCCACCGAATACGGATGCCCAAGATACAATGTCAGCAATAGTCGCAAATCGGTGTTCGAAAAGGAACTATCAGAGCCTCTCAGCTCAACTATCAGATCGCTTCTCAGCCCAACCATCAGCCGGAGGACTCAGTGAACATTAGATCACAATCAAGGAAGCGATCAAAACAACGGCCAATTCGGGCGCACGATCAAATAAAAAACGATAGATCTCCCAGATCTCAGGTACCCTAGTGGACGCCTGCAAAGCCATTCCTTCGATGGTTGTAAAAACTGAAACTGTAAAGTATGCCTTGGACAAAGTAATCTATGGAGGTTAAGCACTGCACTTGTGGGTGACAAAGATTGGCTAAAACTTTCGGTCTAATCTCGGTATTGCTTGTTAGGGTAGAAGACAGACCCTTACGTGATCTCGGCAGTGGTTTCCAAGCACCGATAGTCTATCTTTATATTGTTCTCGTAAATTTCTTACGTCTAGACCATACTGTAGGACCAGCTGCAAAGCTGAAATATACACTCGACCCTTTGTAGCGGTACTCTAGACGTGCTAAGTCGACAAGCGCCAATTAAGCGTTCTGTATGCATGCCGACCCCATCCGAGATCCGTGCTTTAGATGAGATGTAGTTGCCTAAATTGTTTCGTCAGATATAATGCGGTTGAGAGCAGGATCAATCCAGGTCGGTAATTACATTTTTCACTCTGGGTACGGGAAACATGCTCAATATAGCCACAGTAGCATTCTCGCGCACACCCATGTGTGTAATAAAAAAGGAAATAGGTATGAGCTACAACACTGGCGTCGGTTCCAGCCGTGTGAATAAGCGAATGGAAGACACTCAGAACCACTGACCTGCCGATATAACCGGATCACAGAGCGAGCCGCGGCAACTACGTTCTTGTTCTTATATGTTCTGTATTGAATCAAATCCGAAAGCATATCTTCATTCACTGCGTAAGGACACCTGGCACAGATTTCTCGAATAGCATTCAAACCGACGGCGATTGCTTCCGAAGATGCTCGTTCAGTCACGAAGTTATCAGCGATTGTTCGCACTATTGGCTCTATTACCTGAAGGAGACGAGAATAAGACGTGAAACGTTGCGAACATGATAAACGATCGTGGAACAAAACTGAATAAGACTTACATCAGGTGGGACTTCATCGTGACTGGCTTGAGCAGAGAAAAGGAGTAGCCGCGTCACCTCTAAAAACAAACATCAATACTACCATTATAGTAAACATTTCAGGTGCACGTAGTTGAGTCTTTATGGAACATACGTTAACTTACCACGTTGGTGAGGTCGTAGGAATCGTTGTAAGAACGGATAAAGGTTCAGTAGAATTAACTTATGGAATCCAACGAGGCGGGTGATCAGATCTAAGAGGAACAAGCGGATCTCGAATCGATCACCACATCGNTCGAGTTTGCGCAGAAGTCGCTCAGCGAACGTTTGTGGATCATGCAATAAATTGATTGCAGCCAAGTTTGTTAGGCCTGATTTTTTTGATGATTTTCGCTCTTCAGCCTTGTTCACGTTCTTTATGTTCCGTTCCAAGCGTTTCTCGCGTCGCTTTGTCTTGCATCCCACGCGGTGCCCTAGACGTAGTTGTTTTATTTTTGTCTCTTTCTGCTGAAAGGTATGAAGATCAATTGAGATATTTCAAGTGTTTGCTATTTTACACATTTCTGGTATCCTTAAGCAGAAATCAAGAATCGAATTAAACATCAAAGGAACATTTTTGGTAGTAGAACCAAGTATTGTACGTTAGAAGCTTACGATCAAATTTTCCCAGTTTGTTTATACAATCATCAAATTTTCAGGATCGTTCTACGGTTTAGGTTACTTATTTATGATAGGTCATTGGGAAGAAGGAATGAAAGGAAAAGCTAGAAAGTGGAAAGAAGTATCAACGCCAAGAAGGGGAATCCAAAATTGCATTGGAAAGATATTGATTGGACAAACGAGCGACATTGTTCATGGCACTCAGCTGCATCACTACAACAGTAAAACACTGATCCCGAAGTACTCACTGAGGAAGCCTCGATCAAAGTTATCTACGGAGATTGGGCAACCGTGCTGCAAATGTTCATATTTAATGCCTGTCTATGTACCGTCTGTAGATTAAGCTAACCCTGCATTTTTACTAACATGTTTCAGATTGACATACGCTATTACAGTAGATTAGAGATTAATTACCCGCCCTCTATTGCAGCTCACTAAATTTCACATTTATTACACCTTGCTCCCGTGGGCGACAGAGACTGGCTAGAACTTTTCTTCCGACCTCGGCGTTGCCTATTGGAGTACATAATGAATTCGTGCAACGCGATCTCCACAATGAGCTTAGAATATCCAGAGTCTACCTCTATATTGTGCCCTCAAATTCCATGTCCATGCACCATACGATAAAACATCACAAGATTGTACCATGACGTGGTGTGATGGTTTGTGCACCTCCACGACTCAAGGAGCTACAAAGGATGACTTTTATCAAGCTGAAGACCTCATGAAGCCTGGAAGGTCGAGGAGTAGAGTTTGGAGTTCAGTCTCTTCATCCTCCAGGTTGGGGGTTGGACTGGAATTTGCGTTTCAGTCGGTAAAATAGAGTAATTAATTCGAGTAAATGGACCCCCACTTCGCTTCACCCGCTGCCTTGCGCCTAGGTTATTGGTAGAACTAAAGGCCTTCGTTGAGAAACCTAATCGTTCTCCTGCATAGTGGCTGGACACCCTGGCAGTGCCTGTCCACCAAACCCCAATGCATATACATTGTGAGTTTGGCAGCGGTCAGTGAAGTTCGCATACCGGTATTTCGCTATACGGCAATGACCATGATGCCACTTGGAACGCATATCAGGAAAGAACGTAAGTGAACATTAGTGGAAGGTTCTGACAAAAAGCACTAACCAAGAAAAGAAATGTCCGACTAACTAATAGAGTTTAAAATACAAAAAAGGTACATGGTGCACTGGGGGAAATTTCCAGACATGCACTTCATATATATATATATATATATATATATATATATATATATATATATATATATATATATATATCACGCGTGAGGCCGAACTGTGCCAAACAAATCATGGTGCAATAATCTTTATAAAAAAGAAAAACTTTCCATGATCTGCATATGAGCGGAATAATGCCAGGTTGTCCAGGCCAAAGCAGGTGAATTTTCTTGAGGAATTCACAGTCGTTGCCTTTGGTTACCCAAAGCTCGATCCGCAAGGAAGCGAGGTGGTGTGAAAACCGTAAACCATTGGGTTTGAGTGTCCAGTTCATTGGATCACACGTCCTCGGGACAGAGTCAAACGACTAAGGTACCCAATACACCTCGATGCCCAATTGAGCCGGTTATCACTGCCACAACCAGAAAATTGTGTGGTTCGTACGCCTCCTCACAGTTGATTCGGAATCAGGGTTTTTGTTTAACTACCAATGGTCCGGCAACCCGGTCATAGCCCCGGATGTCGGCTTTTCGTCTTCTCACTTTGACGGGAAAACAATTCCGCCACGAGAAAGCAGTGAGTAGGGCATTCTCAGAAGAGGCTGTTTGATACGCTCGGTCGTGTGGGAGCATTTCGCGAGGCGCAAGGAAAGGGTGTCCAGCCGCAACCCTAGACATCCACAACCATACTGAGGCTTCCGGAACCTAACGATGTTTCATCCGGGAAATATGAGTCGAGCTTGGCAACGATCAGTGAAGTTCGCTTCAGTGAATCTCCCCGTTAGATGGTGAAGATGAGTAGATAGCCATGTACAACGCTTACATTTGATTAACGTAAGTGATAGATCAGCGAGGGTCGAACAGAGAGCTACCATATGTTACAAGATTTCGTCAGGGTCTTAAATTGCAACGTGTTAAAATTACATAAACATGCCGTCGATTGAAAGAAAAATAATTGCGTACCGTGTCGCTATCAGATTCGCTATCGCTGTCATTTCCATCAGCTGCCACATCTTGGCCCAAAAAGAAGCGCACAGCCGGAGCGTAGACCTTCTTTCGCTTTGCCAGACACGCTTCACCTATGAGGTTAGCGGTTCGAGAGTCATTCCATACGTTCTTCTTAAAAAGGCGTATCAGAACAAACACGGCTTCGCGAGCCACCGTCGGATTGTTATCCTTCAGTATCTTGGAAAGGTAGGTTTGAACTGCCTATCAAAATAGTATTTTCAAACAAATTAACCAACCGCATTTATCCTGTTTATTTTTTGCCTCTTGTTCAGTCGTTTTATATCGTACACCACGAAATTTCGCATCGTTTGTCTAACTTGTTTATCTTGACAACGATGCAGTTTAAAAGCAACATCAATCGCCTTGTTTAGTGGAATTAAATCCTTTGTCTTAAGCCGCATGAAGGTCTTCATGTAGGCCTGAACAATCATATGCAATGAGAATATGCACTAACCGCGCGCATTTGTGGATGTAGTCCAAAAGACCGTGACAGAAGCGTTTGCAATACACTGGTTGAGAATCTTTCAACATAATCCGGATAAAATTGGATAACCTGAATTGTTAAAAAGGACTACCTTGCAAACCTGTGACAAGAACAATAGCAACTCTTCAAGTTTTTCGACGAATTGTGAAGGGGCACAATTGAATGATTGTTCCAATGCTTGGAAGTGTTCATAGTGACGTTCAAACTATATAAACTGGGTAAAATAATTTAAAAGACCTACATCTGCTTTGTATGTAACAGGATCCCGCTTAAGGTTGTATTGTAAATCACATAATGGAAGAGTAGTCACGGCCATGCGGGTGCAACGCACAATTTAATTGCAGCGCCGCTGTAATATTCCGTTCAGTTCAGTTCAGTTCAGTTGCACAGGACGAATATGGCTCTTGCCAATCGAGC